ACTCTGTGAAATGACTTGAGAGGTGTAGAATAAGTGGGAGCCTTACGGCGCAAGTGAAATACCGCTACTTTTAACATTATTTTACTTATTTCGTGAGGTAGAGTCGGGGCTCTGCCCCTGCTTCTCGATCCAAGGTGCAGGCCCTCGTGGCCTGTCCGATCCAAGCGAAAGATATTGTTAGGTGGGGAGTTTGGCCGGGGCGGCACATCTGTTAGAAGATAACGCAGGTGTCCTAAGATGAGCTCAACGAGAACAGAAATCTCGTGTAGAGCAAAAGGGCAAACGCTCATTTGATTTTGATTTCCAGTACGAATACAAACTGTGAGAGCACAAACTGTGAGAGCGTGAGAGCGCTGCAGGAAAAATGGCGCAGCGAAGCGGAGCGTGGAGCACGCGGCGCGTGAACCGAGGCAAGTAATGCAAGCAAGAATAGGGTAGGAAGACACGGAACAACACACAACGTTGGGCAGGGAAGACTGAAAGAACGCGACGGGGATACGGCGCAGATGATCCCACGGCCCAATACAGGGTAGGGAGGAGGAAAGAGAAGGGGGGGGAGACAGATAAGAAAGGAAAGGAGAGAAGACACGAGTGAAAGGACAAACAGCGGCGAGGTGGAGTTGATGCAAGGGGTGGGAGGAAAGGGATGAGGGAAGGGCCACCTAAGTCAATAAAGAGGAGCAGCCGGAAGAGAAGCCTGGACAAGGAGGATATGCTAGCGGAAGAAGGCACGGCGCCCTTAACAAGGAAACCACCGAGAAGAAGACCGGCATCGGAACGGACGGGTGGAGAACAGGAGAGCACATGGGAGACGAGGAGAGAATCCGGGGGGTATTTATGCTGATTATTAGATGGATACTAGCGAGGCAAGTGGACGGGATTTATAGGCTGATCACTTCTTTGTGGGCGGCCCTAGCGCAAACCTGGCGAATCGTGATAATGGATACAGGTAAATGTGCTATACTAATCCTTACATGTGAACCTTGTTGTGATATAATGGAAAGTGGTCTGAGAAAAGTCAACAGCTAGGTAAATCTCGTTGCCGCAAGACTGTGGGTTCAGGAAACGCTCAGAGCGTGACAGGTGTCTGTGAAACATGAGTGACGAGTAGGCACAAATAACCACTCTGAGGCCCGTGCAAGAGTAACCGTCTGAACACTCTGCAGCTAGTCGGGTAATATGGCACCGTTGCTGCGAGTCGCAACGTTAAATGTGAGAGGGTTGGGCGCAGCCTCGTTTAGAAAGAAGTGGAGAGAAATTAAGGGACTCGTAGTTCGAGATCGCATCCACCTCCTTTGTCTGCAAGAAACCAAACTATCTGAAAACAGACTAACCGACGGAGAACTGCCACCAGTCACGGCAAGCCTCCATGCTGGCTTCCAGCTTTGGGCACCTGCAATCGTCACGGCGGGGGGAATGGCCATTCTTTACACCAAGGACTTCAAGGGGGAGATTCTAGACTTCTTTGCGGACACAAAGGGCTGCTGGGCCTGGGTGTACATAGATCTGGCTGGGGAAAGCGTCCTCATTGCGACGGTGTATGCCCCGTCGCAGCTTAGGGACAAATGCCAGTTTTGGCACGCTTTCTCCGCTCACATCCCCGAGGCAAACAGACTAATTTTGATTGGTGACTTCAACACGGTGGCCGATTCACCTCCGCGCTCTGACTCCCGTGCCCCCTACTTGCCTGATGCGCATGCTATGATAGATGCCTTGACAGACATGGGCCTGCAGGACGCTTTTAGAACGTTCTGTCCCCACGAGAAAGGCGTTACATGGGTCGGATCGGCCCTTAGAAAACGCAGCAGAATTGACATGGCCTGGCTGTCCCAGGCCGCCATGAAGTGTCTGCTTGACTTCAACATTGTCCCGGTGGTTCGCTCGGACCACAAGATGATCGCCCTTGTCTTGGCGATCCCTACACAACTGCATACCAGACCCCCCCCCTCTACCGTCCCGGGGTGGATCTTCTCCGAGGAGCGGTACCGCAACATGGCAAATCAACACTTGCTCTACTGGACACAGCTCCGACACTCGGACCAATCCGCCCTCCAATGGCTAACAGACGGAACGGCGGCCCTGGCTAGACTGCTTAACCAGGCCGTGCTCACCTCCAAGCGAGCACGGCGGCTGACGGAGGAAGCCTTTATCAGAAGGGCGATGGAATTGGGTGATGGTCCATTGACAGAAGAAGGGGAGGAGGAATGGTGGATGCGATGGGAGGCGCTGCAGGTGGAATGGGAGGAATGGCAGATTAAGGATGCGGAATCTTGGGGACTGCGTAACAAAGCTCAGGTTGCGGGGCGTATGACAAAGACGTTCTTCCGACGTCTTCATTCTAAACGGTCAGCCTCTGCCATGGTGACACTACAGGCCCCGTTCCAACAGGATGGTCCATTGGCCGATAACACTCAAGACATCCTGCGGTTCGCTCATGAGTAGTACTCCTACCTCTTAACAGAAGAACAGCCCTGGTCGCCGGAGGAAATGACAACAGCCCCAGCCACAACAATTTGGCAGAAGACAGCTACAACACTGACAGACTTGGACCGAAGAGCTCTCGAGGAGCTAATCAACGAGTAGGAGATCTGCGAAGCGTTGGCTGACATGCCTTCAGGGAAAGCTCCGGGACCAGATGGAATGTTGGTGGAACATCTCAAGGTCTGTCTGAACACCCTTCTGCCGCATCTCCTCGAGGGCTTCAACGATGTCAGACAGGGAGCCAAACCTCTCCCCAAGGAATTTAATCTCGCTACTATCATCCTGGTGCATAAAAAGGGCCCCCCCAAGGAGATCCGCAATTGGCGGCCTATATCCCTGTTGTCGGCCTCATACAAGCTGTTGGCAAAGACTCTGGCAAACCGCCTCGCCCGTAAGCTCCCCCAGATCGTCGACTCCATGCAAACAGGCTTTATCCCGGGTCGTCGGATCCTGACCAACATCTTGCTTGCGAGGCAGATAGTATGGCAAGCTCCGCGTCATGATCCGCCTTTAGCGTTTGTCCTGTTAGACTTCGAGAAAGCTTATGATAGAGTCTTGTGGCCGTTCCTGCTTGAAGGCATGAGACAAAGGCGGATCGGCCTGAGATTTCTCTCCATGGTCCAGTACCTCTTGGGATCGGCCACGTCTCGACTCCTGATCAATGGCTATCTGTCTGACCCAATCGTCGTCACGCGCTCGGTTCGCCAGGGCTGTCCCCTTTCCCCGACACTATATGCACTCTACATCGAACATTTGCATTACATGATCAGAGCGGGCGAGGAACTGAAGGGACTGCACCTTCCGGGTGGTAGGCAACTCAAATCGTCTGCATTCGCAGACGATACTGGCGCAGTCACTACAACCACTTCGGCCAGTGTCCGGGCGCTGCGAAATCAGGTGAGCACCTTTGAAAAGTTTGTCGGGGCACGTATGAATTGGCACAAGTCGGTAACTCGGGTGCCTGACCTCACTGTAGCCCCCGTGTTCGAGGGAATGAGAGTCCAGCCAATGACAAAAACGGCATCTTATTTGGGCATCGAGCTTCCCCAGGCCCTCACTGATGGCTCCCAGATGGAGCAGCTGATGAGGAAAGCAGCCACGCGACTCGCCCTCTGTGGAAAAACTCTGGACGTTGGGATATTTGGCAGAGTGCTCCTTGCGAACACAACGGCTTCCATGATGCTCTGGTACGCAGCCCCTGTCTCAACCCTGGACCCTGTCCCGCAGCGGGAATACCGAACTGCGCTTTCCAAGTTCATCTGGAAGGATGACCCGTTCACCCCGCACGCAATCCATCGGGTCTCCTGGCGCAAGCTCATCCAACCGAAAGCAAGCGGGGGACTGGGCTGATCGATCCAGCCACCCAGATATAGGTGTTGCAGTTGCGCACGGTAATCTTGCTCCTTCTGGAGCAAGATGACGCCCCCTGGAAGATTCTCACGCTGCAGACCATGGTTGAAGCAGCCCGACTGCACCCAGCAGATATGGAGATGGCCCTGACGCAACCGGCCATTCTTACGGAGCTCAAACGAGGCGCTCTTTGGTCCCCGTTCTTGAAGGCATGGCGGGACCTGGCCCCGCTTGCCCTCAAATCACCGGAGTCGACAGAGCACATCCTCCAACAACCGCTGTTTGGCAATCCGCTGATTCAGGACATCAATGACGAACAGTTTCCATGGGCAGGCCCCAGAGGCGCCTTTGGCAAAGCTTGTCTTAAAGCCGGAGCCGCGAGAATAGCAGACCTCTGGGACCTGGAGACCAATGATTGGTAGTAGGAGTCAGCTCTGCTTAAGCAGCTGGATGGCCAGACGCATAAAAAGGAACAACTGTACCGTATCAAGCGGGCGGTCCCGGAGAAATGGGTGAACACCCTCAAGACGACGCGGAGGTTCGATAGGGAATGGGTGACGCTAAGATCTGAAGACCTGGTCCGCCTGGTGTTCCAGATCACGGCGCGCGTCGGGGAGCACTAGTTGGTGGCCGAAGCCTGAGAGAACCCTCCCTCCGACACTGCACTCGGACATCCCTTGGTTTGCGCCCCGAGCAGAGATGGTTGGGTGCCCAGGGACCTCGTCATACCGGTCTCGGTAATCACGGACAGGAAAGCCCTGACTCCCGCCGCCCACCACGTCTTCCGCCCGGATAAGCGGCCGTCGCAACTGGCGGTCGACCCAGCTATGTGGACTTGGAGGAAGCAAGGCCTCCAACGCCACGTCCTCCCGCTGCATCAAGTGTCCACTAAAGTTATCTACAGATCGTTGTCCGCTCCTTATCGGATGGACCAGGAACTCCGACATCGCTGGGCCAGAAAGGGATGGCTTACGGGGACCCTCGCCACAAAATGGTCCTCTGCTGCATGGAAGTCTATGGCCAGCCGCCTCCAGACGCTTCCTAACCTCAAGCATGTAGGACTCCTATGGCTGAACATACACTTGGCGTCCCGACGAACCAGTGGTTTGCGAAGCGCTCATCTTTTTCAGATGGGAAGTGCCCGCACTGTGCCGCAGAATGTGAGGACATCCCTCACGTGTGAAGCGAGTGTACCCTTCAACAACAATTTTGGCAGTGGTGGAGGCAAGAGGTCGGGGGAGATATCGACGAGATGCTTCCGGATGAGTGGGCCGACTGTCTACTGATCGGCCCGGCCTTCAGGGACCCCCCGATTCGAGGTCAACGGGCGTATGCTATCGAGATCATTAGGGCAGCCTTCTTGGGAGCGGTCTGGGCACTCAGAACGCAGCTTATTTTTCAACAGCGCCCTCCTACCTTCGCGGCGCTGCGAGCGATGACCCTCGCCAACCTTCGAACGACCATCGCTGCAGACGCCAAAAGGAAAGCGGCCACGACATGGCCTCTTCTCAAGCAAACTTGGGCGCCATATTCCAAGTTGGTGCATATTCACGAGCAACCGGGGTCCTGGGAATGGATCCCTGACGCGGAGACCCACCTCTCGGGGGGATTACAGTGAGGAGGCAGGCAGTGGAGCTTGGATGAATGCTGGGCTGTCTGGAGGAACCACGGTGAGGTTGGCAAGTGTCGAAGAACGGGGAGCACAAATTTCAGAGGAGTGCATTAGCACGACGGAATAGATTCACGGTATAGATAGGGAATAGCTCCGGTGGTGTAGGGGGGAGACCGAGGAAGGGAGTGGGAAACTTGGCATTAAGTGCTAGTTTGTGTAACGACTGTACAAGTAGGGGGTCGGTAGGATTTGCAGGTGGAGGTCTGGTAAGCCTGGTAGGTGTTGTACCTGAAACCTGCTATGAAGTCAGGTAGAGGAGAGAAACTGCAAGGGAATCCATATGAACTCAGTGCGAGGAGAAAAAATATTGAAGTATACAGAAACATGGCACTTTCAAGTCAAAGTTATACATGTAAATAGTTACTATCTTCCAATATAAAAAAAAATATATATATATTGGCAAGAAAAAAAGAAAAAATTAACACATTGCGATGTCGGCTCTTCGCCACCTGGAGCGGTAGTACGTTCCAAGGGTTAAGTCTGCTTGAATTAACTATAGTTGTTCTAGTGATACATTCAAAAGGAAAAAGATAGTTGTACATAAAGCAAAATATACATTTTTTATATTCTATAAATATTATATAAAATATATAATAGAAAATTTATAAAACAAAGAATATAAATATAATATAGATATAAGAAAAAAAAATAAGTTGTCAATAAGATAAGATAAAAACAAAATGTTCTTTGAATCAAATAAAATCTTTGAAATAAAATCTTTGATTTTGATTAAATTCTTCATTTCATGTGTTTCCTCATTTCATGTATTTTTGTTCAATTAACTATTTCATAACTCTCTCTCAAGGACGATACTTAACAAAATTTAATCAAATGCCATCTTTTGCTAGTTTTGAAGATGTCTTTAAAGCAAGAGTAGTGGTTTTAATGAATTTAATAAAAATGAAGGTATTATACATATATTTCGATGGGGGTTTCCTGGTAAAAATAGACGCATAACGTTTGGGTTCTCTTCATATACCGGAGCAATGTAATAAATTATTGTATTTTTATAAAAAAAATACACACAAAGAATTGTATAAACTTTGTTCGAAAGATCTTTTGTTAGAAGGTAGAGGCCATATGGCCCCAAAATCGAAACCTTTGTCCCGCCTGGTTAAGAATAGAAGGACCGCGGTGGTCATAGATGCGGGAGGGGAACTGAGTCAGAAGTTTTGAATAGCCTCGGTGGTTGTTGTGTCATCTTCCTCGGGGGAGTGAGGGGCTTGCCTCTGGGCATCGCAGGTTTAGCCTCCCTTGACAAACCCCTCTGTGGATGGGTGCTTACGCTTCCCGGCAGAGGGGGCCTTAGGGACGGCCAACCTAAATATGTGCCCCCAGGCAACCCCCGACGCAGGCGCCACTGCCCTTGGGCAGTGGCGATACCCCCGCTGCTTCTTCTCTTGTCTATTCCTATCTGTACTCAGGGACGATGGGCCCGATTCCCAACAGGTGCTGCTCCCCACCAATCGACTGGAGCTTTCCCCTAGGTGCTACTGATATTTGCTCTTATCAGTATCGCTAGCACCATGGGGGGGGTGTTTGTAAAATAAAAATAAAAAATAAAAAAAATTGTGAGAGCGTGAGTGGCGGATGGCCCAGTGGTTAGGGCACCGGTTGGAAATGCACATTGTGGTCTGAGGTTGTGGGTTCAAATCCGCAACCTCGTGCATATGCCGTCGGCACGGCGTTAGGTTGATGCAATACCACTCACACACTGAGCGCGCACGCTCCCAGGGATACGGATGAACACAGGGCTCTGCATCTCTGGAGCTGGGGAGCCACCTGCAAGGGTGCCCACTGGATGCTGATATCCCAATCATACTTCCTGGGTCCCCGCAATGGTTGAGCGTGTGCCTCCCCTTAGGGTTGTCGAGGCCATGGGGGGGAAGTGGCTCCGGGAGGGGCAGGCTCAGTTGGAGCGTGCGGGAGGGGTGAGGGGGTCACCCCCCCCCTAGAAGGAGATGGCGCGTCCCTGCAGCACCATTGTGACTTTGGTGTGTAATGCCTCCCGACAGTGGAGCCACAGGGAGGTGAAGTCCTGAGTAGGGGAGGGGTGACCCCTGCCGCTGGCAGCCTGGTAGCGTCGG